ATAAAAGGCTAAAGCTGAAGAGTATCAAGATTATGTGTATTTCTAATTTGTCATGTTTTTAGTCATAAACTGATGTTGGATTTCATCAAAATTTTTTTCCATCTATTGAGATGATCATGTGACTTTGTTCTTCATTCTACTAGTACGGTGTGATACACTGATTAATATTTGTCTATTGAACCAGCCTTCATTCCTGAATAAACCCCATATGTAAGGAACTTGTACATGTATTATGCTTCTTCTTATAAGCTGCTGCATTCAATTCACTAGTATTTGTTGAGGATTTTTATGCCTAGATTTATGAAGGCATAAATCTGAAGTTCTCTTTCTTTAGATACCACTGACCTCATAGAATGAATTGTAAAGTAACATTCCCCTTGCCATTTTCTAAAAGTGTGTGTGAAATATTAGTGTTAATTCTATAAATGTTTCTTAGAATTCAGCAAAGCTATCATGCACTGGGCTTTTCTTGGTAGGTGAGTTTTTTGCAATTATTTATTCAATCTATTTCTTTGTTATAGGTAGATAAATATTTTTATTTCTTTTTGAGTCATTTTCAATAATTTGTGTCTTTCTAGGAACTTATCTATTTCATCCATGTTATATAATTTGTTCCCAGAATTTCCTTATAATCCTTTTTATTTCTGTAAGGGCAGTAACACTGACCATCTTTCATTCCTGATTTTAGTAAATTTAGTCTTCTACTCACTTCTTGGTCAAACTAGCTAAAGATTTTTCAATTCAATTGCTCTTTTCAAAGAACAAACTTTTACTTTTGATCTTTATTTCTTTTCTAGTCGCTATTTTATTGATTTCCATTCTAATTTTTACCTTTCTTTCTCTTGCTTTATATGTAGTTCCTTATTCCTGCATGTTGGTCATACTTTCTTGTTTCTTTGTCTGTTTAATAATTCTTGTTGGAAACTGGACATTTCCCATAATAATGTGGCAATCCTATACTTCCCCTTACCCCTAGGGCTTGTCTTGATTGCTGTTATTGCTGTTGTTTTAGTTTAATGACTTTTCTAAACTAATTTTGTAAAGTCTGTATTCTTTGTTATATGAGGCCAATGAGTTCTCTGCCCAGGAAGTTTAGTGGTGAACTAATGATTAGACAAAGAGTTCCTTAAATTCCTGGAATCTATAAATTCCCCCATCTTGGCCCCAGGGCTCTGTGTGCTTCTTGGAACATACAATACTCAGCTGGGCAGTTAAGCTCTGCCTTTATTTTCACTTCCTGCTTGTGCAGCATCTCTAGCTCAGCCAGAAGTAAAAGAAGTTAGGGTGTTCTTGGGTCTTCCTGAGCGTTTGCACCTTACTGGGCATGCACACAACCTTGTGCATTTATGTTGCCTTCCAGAGTTCCAGGAATATGTCAAGACTTTTTCAGGTTCTCAAGGATATCTTGTTCCACAGCTTTTCCTCTTAAGCCTTTTGATATTTTGTTATTTAAATTTGATATTTGTCATTTGTCATTTGTTATCCATTGGCCTTGTGCAATCATGATGTTAAACAATTACTTTCAAAAACACCCATAGAAAACAGTTTTAGCACTGAGTGAGCTCCAAGTCAGGTCAAAGAAAGACAAATCTTGCTAGTGGGTCTTCTAGGGAATCACTGGACAGGTCAAAATGACATTTCTCCAGGAATGGGGTGTTTAAGGAGCTGCAACTCCTCTGGGTCCCTCCAGCAGCTGTTGGGCTGCTAGTCTTCACTGGATTTCAAGGCTATCACCGAGTTGGGGGTGATGGGAATGAGGTGAGTTGAAAGACCATAACACTCACAGTTCTTATTATTTTCTTCAGTTAACCCTCCAGTACAGCTTCAAGCCTTGGTTAACTAACATCCATAGCTCTGAAAAGAAAAAGGGAATTTCACTGTGTTCAACATTGCTCTTTGTTTGCATGGAGATGAAATTTTTGGATGACATTACCCTGCCATGCCCACTGACATCACCTCACAATTATATTTAGGCCTCATTGATAGCATCATGGGTGCAGCATGAAGGGTAGTTCAGCAAGCCCTGAAACAAGCTCCATCCTGAGAGACAGTCGCAACCAGACCAGAAATGACAGTCACCATAAGTGGAGTGGAGACAAAAGGAAAATTGCAGATGCTCCAGAGAGAGCTAAAGTCATTATAATCCACAATTTTTTTGTTATTTATTGGAAAGAAACATCAAGATTCCTGGTTTGGATGCCTTAACAAGTTACGATAACATTCCCAGGTCAGGAAACCCAGGGAGGAAGGTTGAGTAGACAGCAGGACCAAGAGAGGCTACCATGAGAACCTCACTGACCAGAGAAAACTAAACAGTCAGAAGAAACACTACAGGTGTCTGGTAGGTGCTCTGGTACCCAGGAGACCTACAAATATTGACAACATACAGGACATAGTGGCCAACAGGACTGAGAGTCATGCTTTGTATTAATAGTGCCAAGCAAACAGAAGAGCTTTGTATTAATAGTGCCATCCCAGAAGAGAAGGATTTAGATCAGAGGAGTGTAAAAGCTTGATAAATGCCACAACACATGACAGAAATGTTCACTAGGTAATAGGGCTCATCCCCTGGGCCACTTCAAACATATATCCTGGGAAAACGGGACCTGAGGGAGGCTAGAGTGCTGCAATAGCAGGTGGGTGCTGGCTGGGGACACATTCTTAATCTTTTCAACGTGGCACCATTTTAAACTTCGGGTTACTGTAGACTTATGAAGATGAATCACAAGTATGTTTCCTGAGGCTCTTTTGGGCTTAACAGCTTGGCCGTGGCTTGACCCTTGCTAATCTAGCTACATACTGCCTACAATCTGTTGGTCAGGAAACCCACCAGCCACACCACCACCCTCTCAGATATGTGAGAACAGAGTTAACTTAAGAGCAAAAGACAGGAAATGTTTATAGCTGGGGAGAGAAATGTACTGTTCTGATCACAGTTCAACTTCACACCAGCCCGTGGAGCACATCCTGTGTCAATTCCTGAAAACAGAGAGATATGAGGGTAAAGGCCATAGAGGTTTCTCACTAATGACAAGCTGCCTCTGTAGTAAAATGGAGAAGAGGTGCTCCCGCTCCTAGAGCCTCAACAAGGGTGGCAGCGTGCCAGCAAGAGAGGCTGGACCGACAGGTTCTAGGAACACAGCAGTGGGATAGAAAGGTGAGGGGCTTACTGGAGAGGGGGATAATTGGTTTGAGGTAGGAGGAGATGGGACTTTTGATCAGGGATCTGGGGACTCTGCCATGGGTGCAGGCTGCTTTCAAGTTCCATGAATCAGGACACTCTGCTACCCTTCAGAAAATTTTCTACCTTTATGCAATTTTCTACCATTTATAATCATGAAATTTTTGTTTATTCATTAAGCTGAAGTCATCACAAAAGCTGTGTTCTTCAGAACATCTTCTCAACACAGGAAGAGAGAAAAGTAAAGTGAAAAGGACTGCAGGGAGCCTTGGGGTGCTGAGTGATCCAGTGTGACAAATGTCACATGCTTACTGCCTAAAAAAAAAAAAGACACTGTGAGCAAGGAGAAACCACTTCCTTAGAAGTTGCCTCTCCTGCTCTGCAGCCCAAAGAGATCTGGACCATATTGACACCCTGCAGTATGTTACTGAGCCAGTGCACCAAGGCTCTCAGCCTCAGGACTGCTGACATGTGGGGCCAGATAATACCTTGCTGTGGGGAACTGTTGGGGGCATTTGAGGGTGTTCAGCAGCATCCCTGGCTTCTACCTAGTACATGCCAGTAGCTCCTACTTCCTACATTGACAGTTAAAACTAACTCCAGGAATTGCCAAATGTCCCCTACAGAGCAAAATCATTCCCTATAGAGAACCACCACATCCCATCAATGACATCACATTGAAGAGGAAGGATGGGCAGCAGCTGGTGAGGATGCCAGTGGCATTGACAAGACACATAGACTAGGGACAATGGGCTATCAGTTCTGGTTTCCAACTAGGAGAAGGGTCCTGACTGAGGTGTGGCATGTGCCAGCCATTTCTGGCAGCGAAGGAGCTCCACTCTTGAAGGCTCTCCGTTCAAGAAGAAACTTGCTGATCAGCTTCAAGCAGTGCAGCTGGATGGAGCCTCCAGCTGCAATGCTGTCAGGCCCAGCCCAGCTCCTGGGAGCCCTGATTTCTCCAGGCACTTCCTAAGGCAAAGCACAGTAGAACTGCTAGTGTCTGCCCAGTGCAGTACTTAGCTGAGGGCCTAGCTTTGGCCCAGAGGGCCTGGCTTTACCCCAGAGCTCCCTGTGGAATCAGCCCAGCCTTTGTCAGACCTGAGGCCTGGCCCCACCCAGCTCAGATCCTCCCTGTTTTCCCTTTCCTTTTCTCCATCATAGTCCAAAGGCTTTCCTGCCCAATTCTACTTCCTTCCCCTTTACCTTTCTCTGGATTTGTTCCCACTGAGCCCCTTGCTGTCTCCCAGCATGTCCTCAGAAAAGCTGACACAGCAGCACTGTCACCTGCTCAGGAATGTACCAAAAAGAAAACTGTGTGAATGCTACACCCTACCTATGAGAAGATGCCACACTGCTTAACCCACGCAGCCTCCACCATGTGCACCTCCTAGTGTCCCCTGCTCAGCTGTGGGCAGCATGCTGGGATTTGTTCCTACTTTTAAGCTGAAGGGAAGCCCAGGGAGAGGACACAGAATGCCCTCCAGACCTTATTCCTTCCATGTTTCTGGTCCCAAGACTGGTTACATTTATGTGTCCTGGGTGTAGCAAAATGTCCAGAGTGGAAAACACCTGGACTGGCCAACACCTGCCACTCAAGTGGCTACGACCAATCTAAAGGTTCCCAGTCACTGAAATTGCAAAAACCTCACCTGAATCAAGGTGTTGAAACATCTCAATTGCCCTTCATGAAGGCATACTCTCTAAGTCAGAAAAATAGAAATCAGAAGGATACCAATTCATAATCTAATTCATCTTTATTACTTGATTCAACTGAACATATTTACACACACATTTTCCAGAAGTTATTTTGTAAAGTGTTATATGAAGTCCAAAAATATTAATAGTGACAGTCCATGCTTTTATGAATGGACTAACCTTGAAAGGAACCCAATATCATGGGGGTTGGAAGAAACTAAATGACAAAGATCCTACCAGTACCATCAAAGCATGTATAAAGTGGTTAATATTGAAAACATCTGAGCCTGAGGATGATTCCTTATTTTCCATCTCATACACCTCCAGCAGCTCTCCATGTTACCTGTACAGCCACAGATAGAGCACCAGGGTCTTGAAACCAAGAAGCAAGCCTCAGTGTAGAATCCACATACCAATGAAGATGGGTAGAGAGAGAGAATGAAGCTGGAATGTCCATGCCCACCGGCCCAGACTGTTTATTCCTAGAATTCTTTCTCCTTTATAATCTCCTTCTATTTGCCCCTCATAGTCCATTACCTATAAGTAGCTGAAGCATCACAAGATGGGATGCTTACCTCATAAGCCACAAAACCGTGGACCTTCCTCACATCTATCAGTCCCGCCATGCCCTGCTCCCCAACCCGAGAGTGTCCCTAACTTAAAGAGACTCCAGACATTTCAGCTACTTATGTTGAACTTTCAAATTCTTTAGGATTTTTTTGAAAAGGGAGTTTTCCTGGGCATGTTTAATTTCCTTACTGACATCTTCCCATGTATGGGAGTACCCTTTCCCATTATGGTTCCATCTCAGATCATTGGCTATTCTCAAAAGAGTTTTCACCTGGGCTTCCCCAGCTGGGCCAGTTTCTTTGTTATTAAAACCACAGTATCGCATTTTACACCTTTTAATTACATTTTTAAGGGCTTTGTTATTTGTATTCTCAATGTAATTTTCAAGCTCCTCATCCATGAGGTCCTCCTTCCGGGTGAACAGCACAATGGCATGACTCATAACTTCCTCTCCGAAGGTGGCCTCCAGTTTCTCCACCACTGCTTTGTCCTCTTCTGTGAACCGCCCCAGCTGGAACACCAGGACAAATGTCTTGGTCCCTTCTTTGCAGAAGGACCAGCAGCGTTTGACCTCCTCCTCTAACCAGGATGGATCTCTCTCAGCACCAGGCATCAGGTTAAAGAAAGGAGTGTCCACAACCACCACATCCTGCCCATCCCACGTGGTCCTGCTGCTCTGGCACACCGTGGTGACTGACTGGGCTTGGAGACGAGAGGGGAAGATGGCATGCTTCAGGATGGTGTTTCCAGTTGCGCTCTTCCCATTCCCACTCCTCCCCACAAGGATAATGCTCAGAGCTTCTGTCAAAAGGAATGTGGGAAAGATTAGTGACCCTGGGCTGATCTGGAATTGGGCTTTAAAATTATGTAAAATTATGATGGATAGACAACCTATAAAATGGGAGAAAATGTTAGCAGACTATGCATCTGAGAATTGGCCAATATCCAGAATGAAACAACTAAGGAAGAAAAAAATGAGCAACCTAATTAGCAAGTGGGTAAAAAACAAAAAAAGGAAAAAAGTGGGCAATGAGATGAACAGGCATTTTTCAAAAGAAGACCAAACAAATATGACAAAACCAACAAATGAAGACCAAACAAATATGACAAATGACCAATAAATATGTGAAGAGATGCTTCACATCACTTATCATCAGAGAAATGCAAATTAAAACCACAATGAGATACCATCTTTCTCAGTTAGAATGGTCACTATTAAAAAGTCAAGAAAACAATAGATGTTGTTGCAGATATGACAAAACAAGAATGCTTATACACTGTATACACTGTTGGTGAAAATTTAAATGAGTACAACCTCTATGGACATCAGTATAGAGGTTTCTCAAGAACTAAAAGTAGATCCACCATTCAACCCAGCAATACCACTACTGGGTATTGACCCAAAGAAAAAGAAGCAATTATATCAAAGAGACACCTGCATTCTCCCATGTTTATCCCAACACAATTCACAAACACAAAGGTATGGAATCAACTTCTTCCCTCGAGACCCTCACTGTTCAGTTGGGGAGATGAGATAAGGGTCACAAAAGAATTAAAGACCAGTTCAATAAGGCCTGCATAGAAAAGTCAGCACAATCTAAGAAAAACAGGGGATAGGGGAAAGTGTTAGTCAATAGAATACACCCGTCCTTTCTATCTCCTCTATGCCTTTTAGAAAATGAATGTTCTTGTATATTGCTTATCTACTTTTAAACATTATATGTGAAAAGGTTTTCTTTGTCACTTTACCTTTTTCTCTAAAGATGCAGGGCTTGCTTCCATTCTGCTTCACCATGTTCTCAATGTTTTGCAAGAGCTCATCCACCTGCCTTTGTTCTTCTCTTCCTGTTAAACGGTAGTTGAAGGCACTGTATCTGTTTTTGCATTGCTGGATGAGCCGATTGAGATCAGTTTCATTGCTTAAGAACTTTTCTAAATTCCTATCCCCTAAATCTTCCTTCCTGGTTAGGAGAATGATCATGTACTGAATGAATTTGTCCCCAAAATTGCTTTTGATGATTTCCAGCACAGCTTTATCTTTCTTGCCATATGAGCCCAGTGGTGTCACCAGCAGGAAGACATGAGGGCCTGTACAGGTGTGTTTCCTAAGCTCTGATTCAACATTCTTTGAAGATGAGATGTCTGGAGAATCAATGATCAAAACTTTCTTCTCTCTCCAGATTCTGCTCCCAAACTGAAAGCTCTGGGTTACTGGACGCTCACTAAATTTGGTCTCAAAGACCCGTGTCCCCAGAATGCTGTTTCCTGCTGCACTTTTTCCAGCACCTTGCTTCCCCACGAGGAGGACCTTCAGCTCTGATGTCCCCAAGCTGTGCTCAGGTCCTGTGTCCTGCTTCTGCCTCTTCTCTGGGCCTGTGAGATGACAAATAAATTCAATGTCTCTTCCTGCAGTTGAATATGAATGGGGATGGGTTTTATGGTTTCTCATCCCTGTCAATTGTTGTAGAGAAAAGCAATAGCACCCTGAACCACTCTGGACTTAGTCTCAGCCAGAAACTTTTGATCAGGGTAAAAGTCATAAAAAGGGGCATGAGTGAACTAAAAGATATGTCAGGAGCTTGAGATTCCCCATAAACAGGAACATGGAAATCTGGCACTCATTTTTCTTGCTCCCTTAGGGTTCCCCTTATTTTGCCACCAAAGGCAAGTACCACAACCTGAGTACATGGGCTAAGGCAGGAGTGGCGAGAATCTGATTTTTAAACGGCCCTTAGTGGTATATTGATAAAATCAAATATACTCAGCAATTTTTAGTCTATACTCAGACTAAACTAGTGACATGGAACATGGATGAATCTCAAGTGAAAGAAACCAAATACAAAAACTACATACTGTATGATTCCATTATACAAAGTTCAAGAACAATAAAAATTACTCTATGTTGACAGAAGTGTGCATAGTGGTTCTCTCAGGAGAGGGACAGTAAGAACTTCTAAGGTGTTAGAAATGCTCTATATCTTTATCTAAATAGTGATCACACCAGCCTGAGCTAGATAGAGACTCTTTCTCTAAAAAATAGCTGGGCACGGTGGTGGCACCTGTAACCCCAGCTACTCAGGAGGCTGAGGCAAGAGGATCACTTGTGCCCAAGAGTTTGAGGTTAATGTGAGCTGTGACACCATGGCACTCTATCAAGAGTGACAAAGTGAGACTCTGTCTCAATACACAAATAAATAAACAAACAAACCAACAAACGGTGATCACATATGTGTTGATATGGGAAAAACACTGAGGTGTATACTTAAGATTTGTACATTTTACTCCATTTATACCATGGTAAATTGCTATAAAAACCTGCAAACTGGCAACCTAAAGCTGTCTCCCCACTCATCCCCTGCTCTCATCACTTCTCCTGTGACCCAAAGTCAACACCAAACTCATGTACTGAGCAAAAGATAGAGTTAGCAACTGCAGGGAATATTCACAGGGGCTGATGCATCAACAGCCCTCAAGGACAGGGATTGTTACTCATTGTCTGAGTAGCAGGCCAGGAAGATGCAATGAAAATGGCATTGTGTGCAAAGCAAGGTGCCTAAAATGCTAGTGACATAGGTCTATTTTATGTCATCTTGGAAAAGTTCCCACATTGTGAATCTCAGCTAACATGTTGGTAGAATGGGAGTATTAATGCCCATATCTTGGGGCTGTTGAAAGGACTAAGGGAACAGCACGAGTAAAGTCCTCAGTGTCTTGACTGGCTTCCTGGGTGAGGAGGAAATTGAATCAGGCTTCAAAGTCCCCCTTCTTCACTGCTTTCATCCTTTACAACCTTCGGGACTTTGGTAGACATGGCAATGCTTTCCTCCTCTCTTATCCTGTCTCACTCCTACTGCTGTTCAAATTCACATCTATATAGCTCCTGAGAGCTTTCCCTAAAGTGCTTTCCCCAAACCATACAGATTAGGTGCCACATATTTTACTTTATGACTCTTACCAAAATAATAATTCATTCTTTCAGATGTTGTCTCTGCCTTCAATTCGAGAGAGACAATATAGTGGTCAAATGCAGAAGCTGAGGAAGAAAAACAGAGCCCCTAAGAGCCAGGACCTGGTCTGGCATCCACAGCAAGGCCATAGCATCCCTCTCTTCCTCATGTAACAGCATCACAGATCATCAGACACTGGTGTTCTGTGGCCATGACCACTCCACAGTCATGTCTGAACACAGAAAACCCTCCCTTTCCTGGCTAAGAGGATGACAGTTGCTTCCTGACAGCATTAGCATGACTTCACACTTATCCCATTAGAGAAAAGAATTATTAAGGTTCCCAGTCATGAAACTACTCTCACTGCATGATAACATTCATTCAGAGCAATGGGCCTCTTTTGGGAACCTTCCTCTAGGTCATCCAACACAAGCCCACATTCTATGAAAAGTTCTTCTCAACTCCTTCTTACTGAGGTGCCCCATGGTTCCCTAGGGTGGGCTAGGCCCTCACAGCCATGAGTCAATAAATCCAATTTTGTTCATTCATAGGTATGTTCCTGGGGGTCTTGGCTGAAGAACATCAACAGAATTGTGAAGCCCTACTGACTGAATTCACGAATTTCTGCCTGAGTTCCTTCATTTCTGGAAAAAGGATAATGACAATGATCCTTTCTCTACAGCGTTGTTAGGAGAACTAGACTACATATTTTTAAGTGGATTAGATATTATAAGTTGAGATGATTGAATTAGATATATAAAAGTTATTTCAATGCACATAAAGTCAGCCATTTTTATCATTATTATAAAAATTATAATTTTATTTTATGAGAACATTCCATGAGGAACTGCAAATCCATCAGTGAAGGTCTGGCTGCACAAGTTCTGGATGTCCATATTATGAAGCAAATTGTACCCACTAAACAAGAAGAGGTAGAGCTATATGCATTGACGTGTGCAGATGGGCAGGATATATCACTAATAGCTATCACTACGTGGCACTGTGGTCCATCAGCAAAGTTGTTATTGCCCATGAAAGACTATCTTCTGCTTTCCAGTGCTGGGTCCAGGGCCAGAAAGAAGAAGCTAAGTTAGAAAAGAAGCCATAACAGGCAAGCCCAGCTCTATAACATTTCAGAAAAGTCCAGGGACAATGTGTCCGAGACCCTTGCTGGTACTGCACCCATTCATAAGTGTCAGGAGTTCTTTGGAGAACAGTTTGTGGCCATTAACCTAGACTATGTCTCCAGGGTACATTTTTGTTCTGATTTATATGGATAATTTATCCACTTTGCATAATGCATTAAAAGGAATACAGATATGAGCTTAGCATTTTTTTAAAGGTCCAACTTACCATGTGGATGGCCCTTCTCCTGTGGTACAATTTCATTTACACAATTCTGGAAAACAGAGAGGAAAATGATGCATGTAGATCTCAAATCCCATCATCTCACAAATAAAAAAAAGGAAACTCAAGTATGTAATTCAGAGTAATCTGCTGATTAGAAGATGGTCAAATCAAGGCCCTGGTCATGATTTTTATTGGCCTTTGTGGACCTGTCCAGAATGACAGTTGTATCCGGTTCCCAGAGGTGTCACCACTATCTCCGATGTCTCCTTCACTCTCTACTCCCAGTATGGAGATGAAGCTTCTTCTAACAGGAGAGCCAATAAAATTTGAAAACTCCCTGCAATTTTGGCAAATAGAGACAACAGGATAGAGGGCCAAAAACATAATTAACATCCCCTTCTCCTGCCTGGTAAATTCTATACTCAGTCCCCAAATTTAAATTGTCATGGAATCAAGAAAGGGAGTTAAAAAAATGATATGCAATCCTGATGAACCTGCTATTCTTATAAACTTTCTAGACTGCATTTTAGCCTCATCTTTGTCAGCCAAGGAAACCTGATACCTGCTTTCATGACTGGCTTTGCCCCATATCATGATACTTTCCACCACCACCCTTTTTTGAGACAGTCTCACTCTGTCTCCCTGGGTAGAGTGCCATGGCATCATAGCTCATAGTAACTTCATAATCTTGGGCTCAAGAGATCCTCTTGCTTCATTCATACCAGTAGTTGGGACTACAGGTACCCACCATGACTCCTGACTACTTTTTCTATTTTTAGTAGAGAAAGAGTCTCACTGCTGTTCAGGCTGGTCTCAAACTCCTAAACTCAAGCAATCCTCCTGTGTCAGCCTCCCAGAGTGCTATACACCTGTGAGCCACTGCTCCTGGCTTGATCCCGTCAATTATCCCTCTCCCAGAATTCTTTACATTCAGCTCTGATTTCTTTCACTTTACATAGCCCAGTCAAATTTCTTTAAGGTTATTTAAATACAGAAGATTGTTACAAATTAAATGTGTATAACAAAAGTTAATAATCTCCAATCCACCAGAAAAGTAACAGTTTAAGGGATATCTATATCTATATTTATATCCTTTTGTGTTTTTCTTTATTTATTTATACAATATAAGCATACATGAACCTATGAAGACACTAGATTTTTGTTCTGTAGTCTACTTAACAATATATCCTGTGCATTGGCAGAAGTCAAAGTAGATATATCTACATCATTCTTTTTAGTAGATACAATTTATTCCATATGTGGACATACACAACTAATTCTCTCATCCCTTTATTGATTGATCTCCAAGTTATTTCTGGTTTTACTATATAAAAGATGTTGTGATAATTATTCTTATACATATATCTTTGTATATATTAATCTTTTTAGTTCCATGACACAGAGTCCTAAAAGTAGGGATCTGATTTACTTTCTGGATTGTTAAAGTTGTTAACATCTCCATAATTTATTTGACCCTCATACATTTTCATAATAATGATAATAATAGATTTAGGAGCAAGATGGCAGACTAGAGATAGCTTTGCAGACAGGCTTGGTGAGACTGGGGAGAGAAGACTCCAGGCTTGTGGGCTCTGCCCAAGAATATCCCTTCAGGAGCACAGAGATGCAGCAGGAGACTTCAGGACCCCAAGAGGAGGATGAAAGCAGTGGAGAAGTGGCAAGTGTTTGTGTTTAGGCAGACACTGGCCAGCTGTGGTGGCTGCAACAGCAGCAGTGAGAGTTTGCAAACAGGGAAAGCCTTCCCTGCAGTTCTTCTTGGGGTGGGGGGGGACTTCAGCACTTGGTTGAGTTACCTTGGGAGAGTTTGAGCAAGTGAGCAAATTAGTTTGAACAGCCCCCAAGTGACTTCGAACAGCACCCAGAAGCCAAGACTGAGCCACTATGGTGGAGTGGAGCTTTCATTGTTCAGCTGCAGGCCAGGTGCAGCCACTGTGGGAGACTTGTCTTGCAGGCTCAGCCCTCAGGATACTAAAACAAGGTTGGTTCTGGCTCACCTGATAAGTGAGCAGCCAATTTTGGAGAGATCTGAGCAACGCATGCTTTCCTGGGAAAGCCACTGCATAGCTAAGGGACACAGTTTGGGAAGGTGGAGAAGTGTCTATTAAGTGGGCTGAGAGATCCAGGCTCCCAACCCTGCAGAGTTTGTGGGTGAAGAAGTCATCAGAGACTTCCAGTCTCTGTCTTATACAGCTATATTAGCATTGTGAGCAGCATCTCATACCCCAGAAGATCATTTATTGCTCAGGCAATATTCAGCAAGATAGTTTTTGGTTGGGGGAGGGGAGGTTGCAACATTTTTCCCTGAGATTTTTCTTTTCTCTTCATTTTTCTCATGTAACTATAATGTTTCCTTGTTGCATTCTTTAATAATAAGGGCTTCATTTTTGCTAGTTTGCTTCCCCTGTTATTCATTTCCCCCCCCCCAATTCTATCCCTTAAAGTTTTTTGTTTCTTTTGGTTTGGTTTATGGTATTTTTGCTTTTCTTCTCTACTTGGTGGAAGTGGGGTCTTGTGTCTACTCAGGCTGGCAAAGATCTGAAGATGTCAGGGACCCATCCACCCCAGTCCCCCCCCCCCCGCAGAGGTTGGGACTTGTGAGTGTGCATCAAAGTACCCTACTGTACACCATTACTATTCCTGTCTCTCTCTTTCTGTTCCTCTCTTCTTTTCCTCAATCTTCCCTTTTACTCCCCATCTTACCTTTCTATTTTCTCTCTTTTTATTTTTTACCCCTTCTTGCTCTTCACTTTTCACTTCCTTTTAGTCTTTTACCAAAAGGACACTTCAACACTTTAGGGCAGAGGTATGGTAAGTTAAAGAGCAGGAGGAAGTGAAAGGAAAAAGTAGGGCAAGGAAACAGACAAAAAGAAAACATTCATGAGGAAGAAACAGCAGAAAAATCCTAGCAACATGAAAACCCAGAACAGAGCAACCCCCACAAGGGATCATGAGGTAGCTACTGCAGAGAATTCCACCTATAAAGAAATGTTAGAAATAACAGAAAAGGAATTTAAAATATAGATGTTAAAAACAATGAAGGAAATTTCTGAGAAAGTGGAAAATCCAACAGGAAATCCATAAGCAGAATCAAATAAGAGATGAATGACATGAACCATATAGAAAGGATATAGCAGAGCTTAAGGACTTAAAGCAGTCAGTCATGGAACTTAAAAAATACAGTAGAAAGTATCAATAACAAATTAGACCATGAAGAAGCAAGAATCTCAGAGGTAGAGGGTAAAGCTCTTGAGGTAACTTAGGCAGTTAAAGAGATAGAAAAAAAGAGAAAGAAAACAACATTCACTGGCAGAATTATGGGACTTCATGAAGCATTCAAACATATGAGTTATAGGTATCCCAGAAGGGGAAGAAGAATGCCCCAGAGCAATGGAAGCCCTGCTAGAGGATATCATAAATAAAAATTTCCCAAATATCACCAAAGATTCTGACACATTCCTTTCAGAGGGATATCCGACCCCAGGTCATCTCAGCTCAAATACAGCTTCTCCAGGACACATCATCAGGAAACTGTCCAAAGTCAACACAAAGGAGAAGATTCTGCAAGCTGCCAGGAGTAAGTGCCAATTGACCTCCAGGGGCAAATCCATCAGGGTGACCACTAACTTCTCAAATGAAACTCTTCAAGCCAGAAGAGAATGGTCATCTACTTTTAATCTACTTAAAACAATTTTTAGCCCAGAATTCTATATCCTGCTAAATAAATCTAAGCTTTAAAGTTGACAGAAATCAAATCATTTACTGTTATGCAAACATTAAGGAAGTTTGCCACAACAAGACCAGTTATACAGGAAATACTTAGACCCATTCTACACACTGACCATCACAATGAACCACAAGCAAACTAAACACCCAGAAACTAAAGGACAAAACCTAAAAACCTAGCTTTTACAATGATACAAAAGATATAACTAAGCAAAGGACTTTCACAAAATAAGATGCATATAACTCCATAACACTTATCAGTTATGTCAATAAATGTTAATGGCTTGAATTCCCCACTGAAGAGGTATGGGCTGGCTGATTGGATAAAAAAGGACAAGCCATCCCTTTGCTGTCTGCAGGAAACACACCTAGCCTGGAAGGACAAAGTAAAACTCAGGGTTGAGGGGTGGAAGACAATTTTTCAGATTTCAAAATGGAAATCAGAAGAAAAGAGGGGTTGCATTTTATTTTAAGATACAAGTGGATTTAAAGCAACTGAAGTAAAAAAGACAAAGATGGACATTTCATCATATTGTATTCAAGGGAACAATACAATAAGAAGACATTTCAATTCTAAATATTTATGCACCTAACTTAAATGCTCCCAGATTCATGAAATAGACCTTAAATAGTCTGAGCACTATGATATCCCATAACACCATAATAGCAGGGGACTTTAACACTCCTCTTAGAGAGCTGAACAGGTCTCTAAACAGAAACTAAACAAAGATACAAAGGACTTAAATGTGACTGTAGAACAACTGTGCTTGACAGACATATACAGAACTCTCTATTCCAAAGCTAAAGAATATACATTCTTCTCATCAGCCCATGGAACATTTTCCAAAATAGATCATATCCTAGGACAGAAATCAAACCTCAACGAAATTAAAAGAATGTATCTTGTATCTTCTCAGACCACAAGGCAATAAATGTGAAACTCAACTGCAACCAAAATTGTCATCCCCACACAAAGGCATGGAAATTAAACAACCTTATGCTGAATGGCAGTTGGGTCAAGGACAAGATAAAGGAGGAAATCATTAATTTCCTTGAGCATACCAATGAAGACACAAGCTACCAAAACCTGTGGAACACTGCAAAAACAGTCCTAAGAGGGAAATTTATTGCATTGGATGCCTACATCCAAAAAACAAAAAGAGAGGACATCAATAACCTAATGAATCATCTTAAAGGACTGGAAAAGGAAGAGCAATTCAATCCCAAACCTAGCAGAAGAAAAGAAATAACCAAAATTAAATGAGAAATAAATGAAATTGAAAATTAAAGAATCATTCAGAAGATTAATGAAATAAAAAGTAGGTTCTTTGAAAAGATAAATAAAATTGATAAACCATAGGCCAGAAATAGAAAAGTAAAATCTTTAATAACCTTAATCAGAAATGAAAAGGGAGAAATAACAACTGATACCACAGAGATACAAGAGATTCTTTCTGACTACTGCCAAAAGCTTTACACCCCAAAATTTGACAACGTGGAGGAAATGGACCAATACCTGGAATCACATCATCTTCCTAGACTTAACTAGGAAGAACTAAATCTCTTGAACAGACCAATATCAAGCACTGAGATTGTAGAAACAAAACAAAAAAAGCCCAAGGACCAGATGGCTTCACATCAGAATCCTATCACACTGTCAAAGATGAACTTGCACCTATACTGTAGAATCTATTCCAAAACATTGAGAAGGAAGGAACCTTCCCCAATACATTCTAAGAAGTAAACATCACCTTGTTTCCAAAACCAGGAAAGGACCTGACTAAAAAGGAGAACTACAGACCAATTTCACTAATTATTATCAATGCAAAAATACTCAACAAAATCTTAGCTAATAGACTGTAGCTACTCATTAACAAAATTATACATCACAATCAAGTAGGATTCACCCAAGGGATGCAAGATTGGTTTAATATATGCAGATACAAAAATGTAATATATCATATCAATAGAAGCAAAAACAAAGATCACATGATCCTCTCAATAGAAGCAGAAAAAGCACTGGACAAAATTCAGCATCCTTTTCTAACAAGAACACTTAAGAAAATAGGCATAGGTGGCACATTTCTTAAGCGAATTGAAGCCATGTATGACAAACACACAGCTAACATCATACTGGATGAAGTAAAGCTGAAAGCTTTTCCACTTAGAATTGGAACCAGACAAGGATGTCCACTATCACCACTATTATTCATCATAGTTTTGGAAGTTCTAGTCAATGCAATCAGGCAAGAGAAGGATATAAAGGGCATCCAAATGGGGGCAAAGGAAGTCAAACTCCCCTCTTTTGGTGATGGCATGATCTTATATTTAGAAAACTCCAGAGACTCAACCATAAAACTCCTAGAAGTCATCAGGAATTCAGTAATGTCTCAGATACAATCAATGTCCACAAATCAGTAGCCTTTGTATATGCCAATAACAGTCAAATGACACAGTTGCCTTCACAGTAGCTTCAAAGAAGTTGAAATACTCAGGAATATACCTGACAAAAGAAGTGAAAGACCTTTCCAAAAAGAATTATGAAACCCTAAGAAAAGAAACTGCAGAAGACACTAACAAATGGAAGAACATACCACGGTCTTGGCTGGGAAGAATCAACATTGTCAAAATGCCTATTCTACCCAAAGCAATCTACACATTAATTACACATTACATTTAATGCAATCCTCATTAAAATACCAACATCATATTTTGAAGAACTGGAAAAAGTAGTGCTTCATTTTGTATGGAACTAGAAAAACCCCTGTATACCTAAGACTATTTTTAGTAATAAAAACACAGTCAGAAGAATCACCCTACCAGACTTTAGGCTATCTCACAAGTCCACAGTAATCAAAACAGTATGATATTGCACAAAAATAGAGACATAGACATATGGAACAAAATAGAAATCCAAGAGAAAAAACCAGTCGCTACTTGCCATCTGATCTTTAATAAACCAAACAAAAGCATACAGTGGGGAAAAGAATCCCTATTCAACAAATGGTGCTGAGAGAACTGGATAACCACACATAAAAGCCTGAAACTTGACCACACATTTTATGCCTTACAGAAATTGACTTAAGATGGATAAGAGACTTCAATCTAAGACACGAAACAATAAATATCATAGAAGAAAGTATGGGGGAAACTCTTGACAATGTTGGACTGGGGAAAGATTTTATGACAAAGACTTCAGCAGCCACAGCAACAACAACAAAAATTAACAAATGGAACTTAATTTAGCTGAAAAGATTCTGCACAGCTAAGGATACAGCAAGTAAAGCAAAAAGACAACCTTTGGAAAGGGAAAAGATATTTGCATGGTATCAATCTGACAAAAGGTTGATAACCAGAATCTACAAAGAACTCAATCAACAAAAAAAAGAGTAAACAATACCATCTATCTCTGGGCAAGAGATGTGAATAGAACCTTCTCTGATGAAGACAGACAAATGACTAACAAGCATTTAAAAAAATGTTCGTCCTTGATCATTAGAGAAATGCAAATCAAAACCACCCTGAGATATCACCTAACACCAGTGAGAATAGCCCACATCACAAAGTCTCAAAGCTGCAGATGCTGATGTGGATGTGGAGAGAAGAGAACACTTTTCCATTGTTTGTAGGACTGCAAACTAATACAACTTTTGGGGAAGGAAGTATAGAGAATTCTTAAAGAACTCAAATTAGACCTCAAATTTGATCTTGTAATCCCATTACTAGGCATCTATCCAGAAGGAAAAAAAAATTATTTTATCATAAGGACATTTGCACTAGACTGTTCATTGCAGCTCAATTTACAGCCAACAAAATGTGGAAACAACCTAAATGCCCACCAACCCAGGAGAGGATTAACAAGCTATGATAAATGTATACCATGGAATACTATTCAGTCATTAAAAGAGATGGAGACTTTACATCTTTGTATTAACCTAGATTGAGTTGGAACACATTCTTCTTAGTGAAGCATCACAAAAAATAGAGAAGCAATAATCCAATGTACTCAATTCTAATATGAAGGCAGTAGATGACCTAAAACATGGTGAGGGTATAGGGGAATGAGAGGTCAGGGAGAGGGGAAGAGGGGGTTTCACGGTGTATGGCACACCTCTTGGGGATGGGACATAATTACAAGAGGGACTTTCCCTAACAAATGCAATCAGTGTAACCTAAGTCTTTGTACCCTCAATGAATACCAAACAATTAAAAAAAGATAATAATAACAGCTAATAATTACTGAGCATATGCCAGGTTTCAATCATCTCATTTAATCATCTTATTTTTGTAAGCATCTCATTTAATCCTCACAGCAACTCCTGAGATACATGTGATTATCTTCTCTGTCTCACAGAAGACATAAACTAAGACACTGTAGTCAACACAACAGATGTGATTTTAGCCCTCATGGGAGTTGTGGCGGGCAGCCCCTGGAAATGACTTGTTATGATGGTGACCAGTGTGAGGGATGCCATGAGGGGAAGGAAGCTATGTGGGCTCATTCCAGGGGCCTGAGAGTCAGGATGGCCAGAGAGGAGTCCCGGAGGAGTGCACTTAAGCCAAGGCAGGTAGATAAATAAAAGCAGACATGATGCAGGGAGGAACAAGGGTGGGAAGGGACAGGGAACAGTGGTGGTGCAGAGAGAATCACAGCACTGAGGCTTTGGCATGGTCATGAGCATATCTCAAGGACAAACAGGAAGACCAGTGACACCAGTGTATAGAGATCAGAGCATGGGGTAACTAGCCAGGTCAAATTAAAGTGCAACTATGTTCAGAACTTTATTATGAGACCAGAAGGAATTGGCTGAAGCATGTAAGCAAAAGGGATGGGTTGTAGAAAACTCATCCTCCTATTTGCTGGCATACCTATTCCACACAGCCTTCAAGAGAGACAGATTGACATAAAGGAGAGATAGCTGAGGCATAGAAGACAAGAAAGCAGGAAACATTGGTTCTCTTGAGCTTCAGTTCCCTTGTCACTAGAATATCTGTATATAGAGATGCTATGAAGACTTAAAAGTTCATGTATTTGTCTGGAATTTATCAGTCACCAAATTTTCTTCTTATTTCCACCCTGTTTAGGCGTATCACTCTCCACCCCTAAGAAGTGTCTCTCTAGCCAAAAGTCCTCTAGGCTCAACATCCTGCTTTTCATCCTCTGGTACTTAGGCCTGAAGAATCCTCTGTCTCAGCCTACCCTACTTATACTGTTGGTGAGTGCTTTGTTTTCTATGAATAAGTGACTCCAATTGAAGTGTAACTTCCGGAAGGCTAAAGTCTACATATTTGTATCACCATTAGTTACAAATAAATTTTCCTTTCATGTTAAAAAATTACATAAAATATCACCCTGGTTATAATGTGTACAATGGATTGGGGTATAAGGTCCAAGTGGATTGGGGTATAAGGTCCAAGAATGAATGTTGTTAGTAGGTTAAAATAGTACAGACAGTAAAGATGCTAACTTGGGCCAGGTGGTGGGCCCGGAGATGGAGGGAAGTAGTGAGATTCCAGGTAGATGGATCCCATAGGACCTGATGATTTCTAATGCAAGCCAGCAGGGTATCAAAGCTGAATCTGGGTATAGTTATGAAGATTATAGTAAGCAGCACAAACATTGACTTATTTAAGAGGAAAAAGTCTATAGATTTAAGAGAGATCAAAGATTAAGAGAGACAAGTGGAGATAACAAGTAGTAACCAGAGGAAAGCAGTCAGAGTTCTCAGGACAGATTATAAACAGACCAGAATTCCTACTAATTTGGAAACTGTTAGCAATAGATAGAGCTTGGGGCCATAAAAATATGGTATCATCTGAGAAGATAGTATAAAGAATTGAAGAAGAGCCAGAACCAAACTGTGAAAATGTCAGCTTTTAGAGGTCAGAGATGAGAGGAAGACTCAGCAATCTTTGGAGTAGCCAGAAAGAAAGCAGGAAAAAAACAAGAGAGTAGTTTTGTTGAAACTAGGTGAAGAGAGAGCCCAATGAGTGATTTGTGTATTTGCTAGCATGAGGGGATAAATAAGATAAAGGCTTAAATTTGTTCATTAACTTGCCAATAAAGTCTAAAGTCCTTAGGCTGATACTAAAGTAACATACAGTCTGATATCTTTTATTAGTGAAGATTATTTATAAATATTTCCTTAAATAAAACTCAACTTCATCACACAATGCAATATTTCAATCATCTGTACCCATCTTTATCCCACTAGCTTTAGCAACAAAGAGATCCTTGGAGACATTAACAAAGAATTCTTACCTGGAATCTGCTGCCTTCCATTTTGAAGTTCACATGATAGGAACTTTCATTCTTAAATACTAAATCCTCAATCTTGCAAAGAAGCTCTGACACCTGAGTGGTCCGCTCATCCTCATCTGCCTTGTTGTTGAAAGCACAGTATCGGTTCTCACATCTCTGAACCAACTCCTTGAGAGACTCGTCGGAATTAATGAAATCTTCCAGCGAGTCATCCTCCAAATCATCTTTCTGTGTGAAAACAATAATGGTGGACTTCCAGGCTTCAGGTCTAAACACGTCTTCAATGCCCTTGACTGTTTCCTTGTCCTCCCTTGTATAATGGCCAATGCGAATTACCAGGAGCAGGATACGGAGAGTGGAAGCAGAGAGCTCCAAGCACTGCTGGATGTTGTATTTCTTCTCTTCAGGGCAAACTTTTGAGGAGAAAAGTTCAGGGGTGTCAATGACCACAACCTCCCTCTTGTTCAGGGACCATTTCTCTTTTTGGCACGTTTTAGTCACCATTTGACCACAAAACTTGGACTTAAAGACAGTTTTGCCCAGAATGGTGTTTCCTGTGGCACTTTTTCCTGAGTAGCTTTTCCCCAGGAGGAGAAGACACAGATTGGACATACAGGGGACCTGTCCGACCTTGCTGGCCGGACATAGGCTCATGCTGGTTCTGTTGGGACAAAAGGCAACACACAAAGTGAATAGGAGAACACCAAGGAACACATCTTTTTCTTAACCAAATTTTCCCCAAAGGATTTGAGCTATTGAAGTCCTAGACTCAGACTATATTAGAAAAAGAAGCTCTATTTCCTAGGATATTCCTGTGCTCTCATCTTGAAATAAACCCAGAGATCCCTCATAGTACCTTAAAATTTCTAGCCATTAGGAACCACAAAGAGTTAGTTATATTAGAAACCATAGTGAACAGACAAGTTTCAAAGTTTAAGAAAATTTCATACTTAATGTGAGAGCTCCCAGATTCATAAGGCAACTTTGACTTGATCTAAGCAAAGAAATAAACAGTAGCATCATAATTGCCAGGGACTTCAACACCCCAGTGACAGAGCTAGAAAGATCATTGAAGCAGAAAATTAATAAGAAACAATTAAAAAGAAACTTAAAAAGGAACAAATGGACCTAATAGACATTTACAGAACATTCTACCCAAGAATTATTGACTATACTTTCTTCTCAGCAGTACTTGGAACATTTTCCACAATTAATCACATGTCTCTTCAAAGTTTTAAAAATGAAAATCATAACTGGGAGTTGTGGCGGGCACCAGTAGTCCCATCTATTCGGGAGGCTGAGGCAAGAGAATTGCCTAAGCCCAGGAGATGGAGGTTGCTGTGAGCTGTATGATGCCACGGCACTCTACTCTAAATAAATAAATAATAAAAATGAAAATCAGACCACAGATTTTCTTAGCCCATAGTGCAATAAAACTAGAAATAAATTCCAAGAGAAAGACTCAAATCTATATGAAGTTATGGAAATTAAACAACCTGCTGCTGAACAATGATGAAATTAAGATGAAAATCAAAAGATTCCTCAAACTAATTGACAGAGGGGACACAAGCTACCAAAATATACGGGATACAGAAAAAGTAGTCCTAAGAAGAAATTCATAGTCTTAAATGTGTATGTGAAAAAGACAGATCACAAATTAACAACCTAAGCTCACATCTCAAGGGACTAGAAAAGGAAGAGCAAACCAAGTCCAAAACCAGCAAAAGAAACAACAAAGCTCACAGCAGAACTGAACAAAAGGGAAACAAAAAAACATTACAAAGGAGCAACAAAACAAAGTTTCTTTGAAAAGATAAACAAAATGGATAGACCTCTATCTAGCTAGATTAACCAGAAATAGAAGAGAAAAAACTCAAATAAGCTCAATCAGAAATTTAAAAAAAGAGACATTACCATTGATACAATAAAAATACAAAATATCACCCATGAATACTATGAAAATGTCTTTGCATATAAACTAGAAAAATGTGGAGAAAATGAATAAATTCCCAGAAATGATCTCCCAAGCCTCGATCAGAAAGAAATAGAAATCCTGAACAGACCACTAATGAGCACCAAGATTTAAGCAGTAATTAAAAAAAAAAAAATACTCCCAACAACAACAAAAAAAGCCCCAGACCAGATGCATTCACAGCCAAATTCTATCAGACCTACAAAGAAGAACCCTTCCTATAGAAATTATTCCATAATTCCAAGAAGGAGGGAACCTTCCCTGACTACTTCCATGAAGCCAGTATCACCTTGATAGAAAGCCAGGAAAGGACACAAAAAAGGAATCTATAGATATCCTACCAATATCCTTTATGAATATAGATGCAAAAGTCTATATTAGAAAAAAACTAAATAACATACTTAAGAATATACCTAACCAATTCTCAACAAAATGATAGCAAAGCAAAATCAATAGCACATCAAAAAGGTAACTCACCATGATTGAGTCCCAGAGATGCAATGATGGTTCAACATACACAAATCAATAAACATGAATCATCACATAAACAAAGCAAAAACAGAGATCATATGGTCATCTCAACAGATGCCAAAAAAGCATTTGATAAAATCCAGCACCCTTTCATGATATTAAAAAAAAAAAAAAAAAACTTCAACAAACTGGTACTTGAAGGAGCATACCTCAAAATTATAAAAATCATAGAAAACAAACCCATAGCCAACATCATATTGAATGGAGAAAAGTTGAAACCATTTCCCCTAAGAAGTAGAAGAAGACAAGGATGCCCACTGTCACCACTTCTATTCAACATAGTCCTAGAAGCCCTAGCCAGAGCAATCAGGCACAAGAGAGAAATAAAGGGCATCCAAATCAGGAGGTTGAATTTTCACTTTTCACTGACAATATCATCTTGCATCCAGAAAATCACAAAGATTCCACCAAAACACCCCAAGAATTCATAAATAAAGTCTCACATTTAAAAAAATCAATGTACACAAATCAGTACTGAGAGTCAAATCAAAGACTTAATAGCGTTCACAATAGCAACAAAGAAAATAATGTGCTTGGAAATATACCTAACCAAGGAAGTGAAAGGTCTCTAAAAGGAAAACTATGAAACACTGGTGAAAGAATTTCTAGACAACACAAACAAACAGAAAAACATCTCATGGTCATGAAATGGTAGAAAGAACATGGTTAAAATGTCCATAAAAGATTTAAATATAAGCCATAAAACCATAAAAATTATAGAAGAAAATGTAGGCAAAACTCTTCTAGTCACTGGCTTAGGCAAAGAATTTGTAACTAAGACTCCAAAAGAAAATCCAGAAACAACACAAAGGAATAAATGGGACTTGGTTGAATTAAAAAGTTTCTGCACAGTAAAAGAAATAATCAACAGAATAAGTAGACAACCTACAGAATGGGATAAAATAGTCACAAACTATACAACCAATATAGAGCTAATATTTAGATTCTAGAAAGAACTTAAACAAACCAAGAAGGAAAAAAAAAAAACCATTAAAGAGTGAACAAACGGTTGGTGTGGTGGCTCACATCTACAACCCTAGGACTCTGGGGGGCCAAGGCAAGTGGATTACTTCAGCTCAGGAGTTTGAGACCAGCCTGAGCAAGAACAAAACCCTGTCTCTACCAAATATAGAAAAACTAGCTGGATGTTGTGGTGGGTCCCTGGAGTCCCAGCTATTTGGAAGGCTGAGGCAAAGAGTGTGAAATTGCTGTGAGCTATGACACCATGGCACTCTACCCAGGGTTACAGAGTGACATACTGGAAAGAAAAAGAAAAAACAGAAGGGGGGGGTAGGGAGGAAAGGAAGGGAAGGGAAGAAAAAAATAAAAAAGCAAAAAGATAAAAAGTGGGTAAAAGACATGAACATAGAGACAGATGGGCAAAAAAAAAAAAAATGAAGAAATTCTCAGTATCACTAATCAGCAGGAAAATGCAAATTACAACCACAATGAGATATCATCCTACCCCTGTCATAATGGCCATTATTAGAAAGTAAAAAAACAACAGATGCTGCTGTGGATACAGAGAGAAAGGAATGCTTGTACATTGTTGTAGTGATTGCAAATTAGTACAACCTGTATGGAAGATAGTATGGAGATTCCTCAAAGAAATAAATGTAGACTTACCATTTGACTCAGCAATACCACTACTAAGCATCTACTCAAAGGAAAAGAAGTCATATCATAAAAAAGGCAACAGCTCTTGTATGTTTATTGCAGCACAACTCACAATTGCAAAAATGTGAAATCAACCTAAGTGCCCATCCATTCATGAGTGAGTTATGAAAATGTGGTACATATACCATGGAGTACTTCTCAGCCAAAATAGGGAATGAAATCTCTTTCACAGCAATTTGGACAAAACTGGATAGAGGCCATTATCCAAAGTGAAGTATCTCAGGAATATAAAAACAAACACTATTTGTACTCTTTAATAATTGGGAGTTGATCAGTGGGCACACATGGGCACAAAGAGATGTAAAGGCCATCGGAAACCAAGAAGGAGGGAGGAGGGAAGAGAAGTATAAAAACTTACCTATCACGTACAATGAACACTATTCAGTTGATGGGAACACTAAAAGCCCCGACTCAAGCACTATTAAAGGTATTCATGTAATAAGAGCATTTGTAACCCCTTAATATTTTGAAATTTTTTTTAGTGTAAAAAACAAGTGATAGTCAGTTGTTAAAAATACAGACTTCTGGGGCCCAACCTGGACATATTAAATCAGAACTTCAATGAAAGGAGGCTAGAAATCTGTACTCACCAAATGTCACAGAAATACTAATGATTAGCCCAAGTTTGGAGAATCCTATAAAATATAATAAAGCAGTACATCTAAAGCGTACAATCAAAACAAAGGGTACCAAGAAATGTATGCACATTTTAAGAAAGGAAAAAACTGTATTAAAATTGTAATACTCAAGTCATGTTTGATTTCTGCAACTGCAAGATGTACAAGATACAATATAAGCGATAACAAATATTATTGGTATATATTGAGTATTACAATTTTAATACAATTTATCCTTTCTTAAAATGTGTATACATTTTTGGCACCCACTGCATAATGCATGGTATACGTGATACTCTGAAAATAATATCACAGGAGACAAACTAGAAAGCATTGCTTTACAGAACTCATGATCAACATGAGTAATGGTGACACTAACAGAGAGGTGCAGAGTGATGAGTTGGACCACGGACTCAGAGGCATAGAACCCCATGGATGGCCAGCCACAGCATCCACAGTAAAGTTGTAAAGTGTTCCATAATACCTTATACCCTTGTCTAGTCTTTCTGCCCCTTGGTGACCCATTCTGTGGATAATCAGTCAAGCTCTTTCCCTAGCCACCTCTGTCATCACTCAATGGGATCATGAACAAAGTCACCATGGTGGCACAGAAGAAGATTATACAGGGGCCCTGCAATATGGTCTTCCACTCACTAAGGCTGACTGAAGCATGGCCACCACTGAGTACCCAATCTACTAGCAGCAGAGACCAATGCTGAGGTCCCTGTGTGGCACTATTCCCCAGAGTGATCAGACAAGTACCTGGTGGCAGGTTGATAACATTGGACCACTTCAATCATGGATACAAAAGCAGTGTTTTGTATAAATCTCTGAATATAAATTCTCATCCTTGCCAGCAGTGTT